TGTGTGTGTGTGTGTGTGTGTGTGTGTGTGTGTGTGTGTGTGTGTGTATGTGTGTGTTGAATGGGTGGAGGGTATCTGGATGTGAAACAGTCACAGATGAAAGTAAAACCAAACCATCTCAATGGCAGAAGGCTAGCAAGCCACAGCCGCAGAGCGACTGGAGAGACCCTGCTCCCAGGAAACAGACTGTCCTCACTCTCAAGCTCCCTGGGCAGAGGTTTTCGGAGCTAGGCTGCTCTTCTGAGCCGTTTTTGCTGCCCCCTGGTGATGACTTTTGCTGCAGCTTCAGGAAGACCAGAGCCTTGTGACAGCTGGATCCTAGAAGGAGCTACCCAGAGCACAAGGGGACTGACTGGTTTCTCAGACACGAAGAACCTTCAGGGACACTACAAAAAAGGAGTGGGAGCTGGGGCATGGTGACGCATGCCTTTAATCCCGGCACTAGGGAGTCTGAGGCAGGCAGATCTCTGTGAGTTCGAGCCCAACCTGGTCTACATCCAAGACTCTGTAGAGGGACTCCGTTTAAAAAACAACAACAACAAAACTAGGAGTGGGGAAAATCAGGAAGACTAAAATGTTCCTGTTGGTGACTGAAGTGGACCAAGCAAGATCTGCCTCCTTTGTAAGGTAGGCCGGGCCCTGCACAAGCAGCCCTACGATGCAATCAGCCTCAGCAGTGTCTACTCCTGACCCACACGTCCATGTGCAAGCGTAGGTGGGTGCAATGTGTGCGGGTCCGTGTGCATTCCTGAGTCAGAATTCAGACGACCTTGAGAAACCAGGCCCTATTCTACCGGGTCTTATTGCCAGGACAGTAAAAAAGAAGGTGTTGATGGTCTTGTGTCCGAATTCTCCCAAGACAGTCCCCATCACACTGCCTCACACCCGTGTGTTCTTCCTCTGGAGCTAACCACCTTGTTTTCCTTTTTTAAAGATTTATTTATTTATTATTTATTATAATTTATTCACTTTGTAGCCGGCTCCTCCCGGCTCACCCTCCTCCCTCTTTTCCCCCTATGCCCCTCCCCTAGTCCACTGATAGGGGAGGTCCTCCTCCCCTTCCCTCTGCCCCTAGTCTATCAGGTCTCATCAGGACTGGCTGCATTGTCTTCCTCTGTGGCCTGGCAAGGCTGTTCTCCCTCAGGGGAAGGAGATCAAAGAGCCAGCCACTGAGTTCATGTCAGAGAAAGTCCCTGCTCTTTCTCTGACATGGTGGAGACTGAGCCACCCATGGGCTACATATGAGCCCATGCATTGTTCTCCATGCATTGTTCTTGGTTGAAGCATCAGTCTCTGCAGGCCCCCTGGGCCCAGATTTTTTGGCTCTGTTGGTCTCCTTGTGGAGCTCCTGTCCCCTCCAGGTCTTTCTATCTTCCCTTTCTTCCATAAGATTCCCCCTGTACTCTGCCCAAAGTTTGGCTGTGAGTCTCAGCATCTGCTTCGATACCCACCTTCTTTTCTGAGACAAGGACCTGGGACTCACAGACGTGGCAGGGCTGGCTGCCATCAGGCCCCGAGGATCTACCTGTCTCTCCCTCTATGTCACTGGGATTACAAACATGCTTCACTGCACCCATCTTTCTCTGTGAATTTAAATTTAGGTCCTCAAGCCTTTATGTGGGTGCTGGAGATCAAAGCAGGCCCTCAGACAGAGCCATCTCACTGGCCTCTCCTTGAGTGTCTGCCACTCCTTGAATGAAGGGAGACAGGACAAGGGGGATGACATTCCCCACCTGGACTAGTCTCACCATCTCAGGAGGGACAGGCACTCTGCCAAGGAGAGGGATGAGTGCTAAGAGTCAAGCCAGTGTGTAAATCCCACCATAACCTGAGTCAGCTTTCTGGGAAAACTGCCTCTTGGGCCATCCTGGAACACAGGCCGATTCCTTCCAAATAGCCAGAGGGGATCCCAAAGGCAGCGGTAAAGTTCAAAGAACCTTGTTTTCACTTTTCAGTTTGAGTCTGGGAAAAGATGTCTGGAGTAAGCATGTGCGTGGGTGGGTGGGTGGGGGTGGGGGGGTCCTTCCTAATAGAATACTTCCAAATCTCTACCCTGACCGCAACCACCGCCCCGATGGAAACCTACTTTGGGAAAGCCCCTGCAGCTAACTCCAGAATGCGGTAAAATGCTGGGGAGCTGTCCAAGGAGAATGCGGAGACAAGACTACCAACACCTCCCTTTTATGGCCCTTGCAGATAAGACGCAGCAGAATTAGGGCCTGGTGTCTCAATTTCTTGCCAGGCAGGGGAGAATTGCATTTCAAAAGGGCCTGAGACAATTAGACTCAACTCACACCTCCGTCTGGACAATAGGACAGCCGTGATCTCACCAGCTGTGGGACAGGGGAGGGGAGGGATCCCCAGCAGTGGTCCTCTCACCTTCCTCTCCCACCGCTTTCGTATACATCCCTTTTCAAAGGAGAAGGCATGGCCAGGATCTGGGCCCGGCTAATGACAGCTATCACCAAACCTGACACCGAGTTTTCACCTCTTGCTCAAGGGCTCAAGCGGAATTTATCTTAAATGTCGAGCATACAATTTGGGACTTTTCTCCCCCGAGACTCTGGAAAGACTTTTCACAAAAGGCCCTTCTAGACAAAGGCAGTCACGGCAGGCAGGCGGGTCTCTAACCCACACCCTCCTTACTCAGAGGTTCCGTTCCCTCCCAGAGTGAGTCAGCGACAGCCTGGGCCAGGGTAAGTCTGGGGTAGAGGACCGCAGAGTGATGCTCTTACTGCTATGATACCGTTTGGGGCTCTCCCTCCTCACAGCATGCTTCCGGGCTTAGAAAGAATGCAGTGAGGCTTCCCTTCAAGCTGTCAATGCTCCAGTCAAGGGAAGGAAAGCTACCCCCAGGCATGGAGACACAGGTCCTGCGGCCTAGCTGAGCCCAAGTGGCCTCTTACCTATCTGCATGACTCTGCCGAAGACGGAAGTGTTGTCCACTGTGCTGCAGTTCCATCGCCTCTGCCGGAACTGGTGCTGGCACTCCCGGATGCCCATCTTGGCTCCCTCCCCGATGTAGGACATGTGCTCTTGATACAGCTGGCACAGCTTTCTCTGGCCTGGGGAAAGCCCGGGAAGCTGGCTGCACACAGGCTGAGCGCCGATGATGAACATCTCGGGTCTCTGCACCGGGTTCAGAGCTAGCGACCTACGATGGCAGACGAGAGACACAGCGGTGAATGCACCCAGCCGCAGCTCCACGCCTTTCACTCGACGGCCCCTGTGCGGTGTTCTCCACAGACCAGGCTCTGGGCTAAGCGTAGGGTGTGGCGGTTCACACGTGTGGGAGGCAGAGGCAGGTGGATCTCTGTGAGTTCCAGGACAGCCTGGTCTACAGACTAAGCTCCGGGACTGCCAGAGCTGCATAGTGAGAGCCTGTCTCGAAAAGACAACACAACAAAACACAACACGACAGAAAAAAAAAAAATCTGAACTGTCTGAAGGATGAGGATGGGCAGAGGAGGCTGGGCAAGGCAGTGAGAGAACAGAAAAAGTCAACCACCAATGGGCCAGACCATGTTGAAAGAGTAAGAATAATGAGTTTAGCCAAGTGCAGGGGGCTTGGTGGAAGGTTAGCTATCCTTTTAAGGCAAATCTCCTCGTGCCTTTAAGACAGAATCGGCTTCATACACACGACCATGTACCATAAGCATTATCTCGCCTTGCCTCTCTGTATATCCCAGGCCTCTGCCGATCAGCTTGGGAGCTACTTTTGCTCATCAGCTGGCACATATAACAAATGAGGTGCTGAATTAGATGAGGGACTTACAGATTTGCCATCTGAATAAGCGCAAAAGCCGGGCACAGGCTGTGCAACCTCCATGTCTATTTGGCAAAACACAGTGGCCTTGAAAACACAAAGGAGGCCACTTGGTTCTTTCTACAAAGCCCTCTTTGGCCTTCAGACTGATCAACTAGGAATTTTTACTCCATCTGTTTCTACCAGGAAAAAGACACACACACACAAAGAGATAGTAACCTCACATTATACATACATGCATATGCTACAAATGCAAACGTGATGGAGATCTCGCTGTGTTCTATAGAATGACCTTGAAACTACTGGGCTCAAGGGGTCTGTCTGCCTCAGCCTGAATAGTGTGTGTGTTTTGCTAAGAATGAACTTAAGGGTCTCATTCATGACATAATTCATGCTCTTAATAATTTTTTTGTAAACAACAATTAAAGCTACTTGTAACAATTCACAGGGTGGAGGGACGTTCAGGAAGGGTTTTATACAAGATCTAAGGGGGGAAATATTACAGGAACACAGCCTATATTCTTCTCATGACACCCTCTTCTCTGGGAGCTTGGAGGAGAAAATGGGCCCTGGTAGAATTTCCTGGGATGGAAGAGGCCTCTGGTATTCCTCAGAGGAAGGTGTGATCACTCCCATGGGGCCCTGATTCACAGCTTGATTACTCAAGAAGCCTCAAGGTCTGGGCTAGACCTCAGCCCCCTCACTCACCACCAGGAGTTGGCGTCAGTCAGGAGCTGGGCCCAGCTGGAGAGCAGAGCTGCTGTGAAAAGCAGCGTCAGGCTGGGCATGGTTGGCCTCAACCCATCCCAGTGCCCTGGGACCAACATCTTCCAAAGCGGAGCTCCCTGGAGAGGGAAGCAAAGGAGAGTCAGCATGCAAATGTCACAGAGAAGAAAAACGGGGGGTGGGGGTGGGGGGGTAAGTTCAGTGGTGGAAAACTCAAAGGATGAGCTGGGAGGGTGGGTGGGGATGAACAACTGAAAGGCCAGTTCGCCCACCCAGCGAAAACTCAGCCCTTTCTAACCTCTTCTTCCTTGAGTTACACTGGGGGGCTCCTACTCAGGACCAGATTCTGAAGGTAACAGTAAGCTGTGAAGCCAGAATAGCAAACGAAAACAGACCATGTCGAGAAGGGTGTGCTCTGCCCTTCTAGAGCAGAGGACAAGCGGATGGAGACAAAAGGGATGGCCCCCCTCCCCTGTTAAAACCACCCACTCCAGTCCAGAGCTTTAATCCTCTATCCTCTTCGTAGCGGTTAAGGATTAAACACCTACAGAGTTGGATATGACTACACTCAAACAGGAGGCCGTACTCTTCCTGCTCTCAAGTCTTCCAATCGTAGACCCTTGTTTACTCTTCAGGAGTAATAGCGGGGAGGGCATCAGTGCCTTTTTACTTCCGAGGCTCCTGCCTAGCCTGGCAGGAGCAGGCTTTGGTGGCCAGTCTCTTCCCCCAACACTTTGGCCTTTGAAGGGCCACATGGAATGCAGCATTTGGACGACACCGGCAATGGGCCACTTCCTTCAAATCTTCCTGAAGGTCCTGTCCCCTTCCTTGTTGCACGGGTGTTCCCGCCTTTGCCTTGGTTATTTTGCTTTGGAAACCTTGGGCATTTGGAAAATATACCTTTGGCATCCTAGAACAACTGACCAAACACCCACCTGTTCCTAGGTTCTCCTCATTTCCAACAGATGCGCGCGCACACACACACACACACAAGCCTCGGACAGTCCCACACCAGCTCACCACGCTGATCCTGAGCTTCTGGTTCTCTAGACTCTCCGGGAGGGGGCGGCAGATGCTTTTTAGACCGCTGGTCTAGGAAATACGTTTGACCTGGGGCTGCTAAGAGAGAAAGGTGGCTGGAGCAGGATTCAGAGTTGGACAAGCCCTGCTCCCCGCCCCTTTTGGTTTTCCTGCCGTAGGTCTCAGCTGGGGCTGGGCACCAGCCGGCAGGTGTGTGGGGCCCTCAAGGGGCGGATCAAAGAGAGATGTGGTCCTCAGCTTTTGTCATGTAGAGCCAGCTCGGAAATGACCCGGCCTTTAGCCTGGGCCACTAACAACTCCACCTTTCCTAACCAACTTCACTGCCTCTTCTGAGGGATGTCCCTGCCCCTCCCACCTACCCCCATAAATCCTCCACCTCAAGACAGGAGGTCTGTGAAGGCAAGATAGGGAAGATAGGGCTGGCTCCAGAAGCTAATGGCTTTATTGAGGGGAGGGTCTGGGTCGGGGATACAGAGGATACACAAGAGAAAAACTTCAAAGAGCCTCCTTGTCCAAACATCCCCATCTTCTCCTCCCAGTCCTTCTTGGGGACCATTCAGCCTTCTCCTCTGACTGCCCTGGCCAAACTACCACAGACGGGCAAACTCCCCATTCCTAACCAGTGCCCTGACCAAATAACACAGGTTTTCCCCGATGGGTGGCACCTATTTCCCTGAACCTCCTCACCCCAGGTTTCCCATCTCACACCCTCTCCTAGGAAATCTTTCTGCAGGTCCCAAGCCTAACCAAGGCCATACTGGGTGTCTTTCTGCAGGTCCCAAGCCTAACCAAGGCCATACTGGGTGTCGGAGAGCCCAGTGTTTCAGAGACAAGCAGCGAGTGTCTGCTAACATCACTGTTTGACTGCCCGGGCCAGAGGCTGATAAGCTGTCTAGGGCGAGACCTCACAGGGGCTGCAAATTCCACACCTCCCTGCCATGGAAGCATAAAGGGCAAATGCAAAGGCCCCAACAGCTCTCCTGTGCAAACCCACAGTCACCCTGGGATGACTTGCTCTGGTCGGAGGGCAAGAGCTTTGGAAGGATGGCTCTTGCTTCCTAGAGTTAGGGTGTACTTCCAGGGCCCAACGCCCCATCTCCATGGAGCGTTCAAAAGCCACCACTCCTCCTGCTACAGGGTGCCATCCTTCTCACCATAAAGCCAAGCCACGGCGAGGAATGAAGCGTAAAACGCCTGAAGGGGGAAGGGGTCCTTTCACCCCCGCCTGGATCCTGGATACACACCGGAAAACTTGCTGTCCTGGTTCCCTAGCAAGTCAACCGTCGAAGCCTTTGACTGTGTTTCCTGGGGCTGGAGAGATGGCTCAGTGCTTAAGAGCTCTAGCTGCTCCTCCAGAGGACCAGGTTTCCGTTCCCTAGCACCCACATGGCAGCTCACAACTGCCTGTAACTCTAGTCCCAGGAGATCTGGCGCCCTTACCCAGATACACACACAGGCAAAACACCAATGCACATAAAATAAATAATATACTTTTTTTTTTTTTAAAGCTTGTTTCCCACTCTCCATTTCTATTATTGTACTCTGAGAGATCAAAAAGCTGGCTAAGTGACCTCTGTTCTCTAGATTGCTTCATGGCTTCTTTATTAAAGTCTCTAATTTTGCAAACTCTAGGGTTCTCAAAGTGTGGCCTGCTCTGATTTAGTATTGGCATCACTTAGGAACCCATTGGGAAAACACAAAATCTCAAATTGCCAAGCTCCACCCAGACACAGATTTGTTCCTAGCAATCTGTTATTGTTGTTTTTAACGCAATTCTTTTTTTTACTTAAGCATTTTTTCACACTTATTTATTTACGTGAGGCGTGGGCACATGTGCTGGAGGTCAAAGGACATCTTTGCAAAGTCAGTCCACGAAAACCAGAGAGCCAGAAAACCAGAGAGCCACGCTCAGGCAGCCATCCTCAGTGACAGATAACACCAAGCTTTCAAAGTAACACATTTGTATGTTAATGACAAATTTCTACTTGCTGCTGTCTTAAGCCAATCACCCGAGGGTGTTGGAGACCTCTCAGGGCACAGAGACATTCAGCACCAGGAAGCCGAGCCACAGCTCGAGCGCAAAAATGCCCGCCGGCTTCTTCTATTCAGAAAGGAACACCCTAACTCACATTGAAGCATTATTGATGGTTGGGGCTGCACACATCTCTGATTACATTAAATACCATCGGACTGCATACGTTAGATGAACGAACTGCACAGGTTCTACTGAAACAAAGCTGTCACCATTTAAAAATGTGTTCATGATGATGAAGCTCTGCACCCCCCCCCGTAGCGATTGATTCACCAGGAAGTATGTCATGTCGATAGCAGTTCTAGTTCAGTGACTGCCACCGAGCCTGAATTTGATCTCCAAGACTTAGCATGCATTCCCCTCAGCCAAGGATAAACAAACAAACAGATAAGTAAGAAATAAAATAAAATAAGTTCGGAAATGGGCTAGCAGCCCTGTGTCTGCCTCCTGCCACCTACGGTGGGATGGACAGACCAGCTGTGATCTGTAGTCGCAATGAAGAAGTGTGCAGGAGTGAAAATGAACAAGTCACAGCTACATGCCACCACACAGAAGTCTTACCAACATAATTTTTTTTCTTAATGTGCATTGGCGTTTGACTGCATGTATGTCTATGTGAGGATGTTGGATCCCCTGGAACAGGAGTTACAGACAGCTGTGAGCATCCATGTGGGTGCTAGGAACTGAACCCAGGTCCTCTGGGAGAGCAGCCAGTGCTCTTAACCTCTGAGCCATCTCTCCAGCCCCCCGCCCAACCTAACGTTGAAAAGCAAGTGACAGAGGACACAGGTATAAACCATACAGAAAAGCAAGAAGCTGATTATCGCCAAAACCACGTGGAGGGCAGAGGGGACCACTATGAGGAAGAGACTTGGAGTTTCTAGGTGGCTCAGCCTGGGTAATGGGTAAAGTCACAAAGAGTCTCGGCTCTTTGCCATTGCCTGTGTTCCTGGGTGGTACATGACACAACAAAAAAGGCTCAAAAATGAGAAGAGATCCGATTAGCATGGATGGGAAGATCTCTGTGTATGTTTTCAGTCTCACAGGGCATACAAAAACCCCTTTCTCCCTTACAAAAAGAATATTCAAGCTCAAAAGGAAGCATTAAACAAATGTCTATTAATTTACAGACAGGCCTCTGTCATAATGACTGGAGGGTGCGGCAGACCTAGAGCAAATCGGCGCACAGCCCCCAGCATCCTAAGCGTGAACCAGCGGTTTCCGCACCAGAGGTCAATGCAGCTTCACGGTGGGGGAAACCAGGCTCCGGCCAAGCTACTCTCTGTGTCACTTTTACTTTATTTTCTGCCAGCGGTCACTATTTAGTCCAGCAGCCAGCCTCTGGCATAACTGTTTTCATAACTACCTTTCTTCTTTAAAGGACTTAAAAAAAAAAAAAAGTGACCGAAGACTAAGGCAATAATGCAAGGAAGACTTTATCAGACAATCCCAGTCTCTTGAAGGAATCCCCAGATGCTCCTCTGCTGTTCAGCTCAATTAACACAGCCTTTCCCTGCCAGCCTTAATTATTTCTCCCAAGGGTCTCTGCTGCTGCCCTGCCCCCCATCCTCCCTTCCCGCTTTGCTCAGCGAATCCTCTTAGCCTCAAGGCACATTCCTTTGTGTGATCCACTTCCTAGACAGTTGGTGGAGACAAGTCTGTGGTGGGGTGGGAGGAAGGTTTTCCAGCCCCACCACCGTTTGCAGCAGCTCCTGGAACACTCGTCTGTGTCTCAAGAAGTGATGTCTTAGGGGTGGGGAGGGAGAGGGGGTGGAGAGAAGGGAGGAGATTTAAATGCTGGCACTTGGGAGAGATGTTAAGCTAGAAATGTGTTTGGTATTCCCTGTGAGGGGGGGGGGGGGGGGGGGGGGGGGGGGGGAGGGGCGCAGGGGGGGGGCGGGGGGGGGGGGGAGGGGGGGAAGGGGGTGGGGGTTCCGGGGGGGGGGGGGGGGGGGTTGTGAGGTAGGAAGGAGAGGAGCCTAGTCGCAGTGCCGGGCGTGGACCCAGAGTTCAGATCTCCACGTTTCCAGGAATACAGAATCCCAG